GGAGAAGTTAATGTGTTTTTTCCCTATTTCTGCTTGAATGTTGCATCTATCATTGTCCCAGTATAAAACTACTCCTCTGTTCATGCAGCATGAAGTGGCAAAGTAGCATTGTGGGGTTCGGTGAGAGGGAATCTGTTGAGAAAGCAGAGAGTATTGGGTTGAGCCCCTCCTTGTACTGGTGTCACCGTTGTCAGAAACTGGAAGCACAAATGTCTGAGAGTGGAGAAATCTGTTGTTGCTCCAGCTGTTAAATAAATCCCCTCTGTGCCGCATCCTGAAGCGGAGCCTGCTGGGTCTTCCTGCATCATTCATGGTGTGTCTGGAGGGGTAGAATAATGCAATATGCTCCTTCTGTTTAGTTAAACGTACACATGCTTTTCATCATTATTTTATAAGATACACACTATGAGACACAAGTACTGGAAATGACTCCGTTTCTGCTGCAGCTTAATTTTCTCAGCAATCCCATAACAGCGAACACAAGTTAGGATGGGTACTTTACTTACCCCCACTGCCAGAAGGACCCTGAGGACACAGTTCTTTGCCTGAGGCTTTTCTGAGCAGAGAAACAGTGATTTGAATAAAACAGCCTAAAAGCAGAAGTGAGGCAATGAATTCTGCCTGCAGGGCTGGGCAATGAGGGACTCCAGGTCCTGCAGCACAGTCGGCACATGGCTCAGCTGAGATGTCGATATTGTTTTCAATTAAACTTTCCAGTTCCCCCTCCCCATTTCCCTTCCTTTGCATATAATGCAGAGAGAAAAGGAGCGGCTCCTCTCTGAGCCTCAAGCTCTTGAGTTTCACCCGCTGGGTCCACAGGGATAAAAGAATGGAAAAGAAAAACTTCTTCCTCTGGCAGGACGTGCCCCAGCTCTCAGCACACTGCAGCATCTCCATCAAAACAGTAAGTCTTGCCATGCTGAACATTGGAAATGCAAACTTGGAGATCAAGTTTTTTTCCCCTGTCCTGTTCTCGTCTGAAGAACTACGGCTCCAGCAGATGTGCTGGTGGTGCCACGTTGGTATTTCTGATCAACAGCATCATGGAAAACAAGAGTTTTTGCACATTTACAAGTGGGATTTAGGAATCAAAGAACTCGTCTTCTTGTCCGGGGCATCCTTATTGCCCCTTCGTATTTATCACACTATGTATCTTAAAGTACACCCTGGGTTGTGAGCACCACCCATACTACTTTTTCGTTTGTCATTGCCAGACAAAATTTAGTGGCTTCTGGGATGATCAACAAATGCAGTATGCGGAATTATAGAAATAAAACTAAACCCCAGCTATAACGTCTGAAGTATGAGAAAGTGCAAAGGAGCTCATCAACTTTAATTTATTGAGAAATCTTATGAAACCCACATTACAGATACATGGACACACACCTGTTTTCAGTGTGTTATTTACCACTTTCCCTTAGGTTTTTAGTTCTTACAGTCAGAGGATAAGCTTTCCTCCTGAGATCACGCTTGCCGAAAGTTTTCGAACACGTGCTTTGTGCAGAGGGATGGATGAGAAAATCACTTCTCTCTGTATCTTCTATGACTCAGTTGCTCGCTTCGGGATTGACTTCATGGTGTTCTTCCCACATGCATAGCTTTCATCTCCGGGGCACTCATAAATGTATCGCTTTGAAGCTGCTAACATCTTCCAATCTCACAGAGCTCGTGCTGCGCCGCACTCACCCTCCAACACACTTATGGAGGATTTGAAGCCTAATGAGATGATGCCCACACCTGATTACAAGGGTCTTATTGGCATCTAAATCTCTGCTGTCATTAGCTATTATTACAATATCTGTATACAATTATTACAATAAAAGTATCAGCAGAGAGTATAATGAGCAGTACAGAAGGGCAGTGTCTGCATGTGCCTTCAGCTGAGCTGCATGCCCCTGGTTGGCGAGCTGCTGTGCATCTGTATGTGTTAGTGGTTGTGTGTAAACATGGGTAGCTACACCAGTTGTGCTGTAGTTGCATGTATCTACTTGCATGTATACACATATATAACTTGGGGGTGCCAGAGGGTAACTTCAGGGAGCTGTGGCTTTTTGTAGCCTCATTAAAAGCCTCTCCTCCTGTGCTCCCATGCGGACTGCCAAGGCTGCAGCCGTTTGTCGTACAGAACAATTTCCAGCAGACATAAATGGATCCTTGTTTTGCTCGAGAGGTACTAAATTACCTTTGCTGTTAACCTGGCTGTATTAAGAGGCCGAATACGAGCGCGCATGGCACGTGCTGCACAGCGGTGGCTTTCTGGTCTCGGGGGATTGATATCAGAAACGATGTAGTGCTTATGTAGCGTCTGTATCAGAGGGGAATGAGGGAGTGTTGGCTGCTTATCTGGCTCCTCGGTGCCTGCGTGGATTGCAGAGATAGGTGGTATCTCTGCAGCTACAGCTGACCCCGTTGTGCAAAGGAAAACACACCGCCTAAGATTGCCGTCGACTACATGTGTGAAATAGAGAGATGAGTTAGCTGCTGGCTATCAGTCAGATTTAGGGCAGTGATACTGCACTTCCCGTGAGTGTAAGTGGCAGATCTCCAGCATGGCAGTGAGGTTCCTCGGGTGGTGCTGGAGCTGTGAATGGAGCCCAGCAGGAGTTTGGCCCCAACGAGGCACAGCCATGGAGGGCCAGCTGGCTGGAGCTGATTCCGGGAGGAAACTCCTGCTCTTCAGCTATTGGCATGCGGTGATGAATCTGTTAAAATACATCATGAAACTGCGTCAGGCAGGATTATTTATGGGAAGGATGCCCTGTCTTTCAGAATTACAAGAGGCAGTAGAAAGAACAGTAAACTCAGATAATTGCTGTCTTTGGAGCTCACTCAACTTGTGGTGTCAGCCGAACAGCTAAGCCTTTGCTGCAAAGATTGTATGAAAACAGTACAGGTGGAACCTCTAATTTCTCCCCACAGAATGTCTGTGCTTGATGAACTGATGAACTGCTAAGATGTGTTGGAAAATACGTGTTCATGGCAGAGCCGTTGGATCTTTTATTCCAAAATGTAATCTGTATTTCATTCATTGCTTTCACATTTGCTAATCTTTTTAAAAATTCTTTTTTTTTAGTATAAAGTTATTCATGGTTTTGCCATTCATGACTAACTAAGTTGCCTTATTACCTACCAGTCCTTCATTGTACTGCATAAAAAACAGCCTGAAGTGGTCAGGCTAGCTGAAAATTACCTGCACTTCTTCACATCTGATGGAAAGAGCTCCTTTACAAGCCTATGTTTTCCTGCTCCCACTAAATCTACTGAGACTGTGCACTTTCTAGTGACTTGATGTCAACCTTCATCAGCAAATACAGCAGGAAACTTTCCTTTCCAGTGTCCCCCACCACTCTGTTAAATACAATTTGTTTCTTCCTCTTTTATTTGAAAGCAAGTTAATGACTTTATGGATGAGCAGAAAAACAGAAAAATTGGGATCCCATTTGTATTGCTTCTCTCCCGCTTTTCAGAGTGGAAAGTGAATGACTATATTTTACGGAAGGGTCTCATACTGAGACCTATAAATCATACTTTCCCATCTGTTTCATTCTAAAACAAAAAGCATTTCTCAAAAATGAACTTCTGTCTTGAAAATTACGCTCCAAAAAGAAGTTTCTGACAAATTCACTCTGTTCTGCAGTGCAATTTGAGAAGAAAATCTGTGATTTGCACTTGTAAGATTTTACTTCCTGTGACTGTCGATATGGGTAAAACCTCAATAACCAGACTGTTTGTGAACTGAAAGACTAGAAAATAAAAGAAAATAATTTATTGGATTTTATTCATGAGAATATATCTGAATATTTTATTGAAACCATTTTCTCACTATTTTTCCCTGTAGCGAAATGAAATATGAAGATGGAATTTATTGCAATTACTCTCTGAAAAAAAAAATACAACTGCAGAGGTCTTGAGAGTAGTTTTGTTTACTTGCACTGTTCCTCTAAGGAGAAACTCTTTATTAGTAGGACTGTGTATGAAAGCATTTATAGTTAATACAAATGTCTAAGCTGCTTCTAAGATGAAAATCTGGACCATTTTGGTTTCTGTGCATCATGTTCACATGATACTGTTTTCTTTTAGCATAATGCAATGTTAATCTTTTTTATTTGGTTTTCCAGTGGGATTCTTACTTCAGAAATATATGGTGTAGTATATGGTGTGTAGTAATGAGTTCTTGAAACTTATCAGAAATATGGCCATGAAAATTGAAAAAAAAAAAAAATTTGAAAGCTCCAAAAACTGTAATAACACCTCTGGACACCTCTCAAGGTCAATGAGAAGTTTGTCATAGAATCACAGAATTCTATAGAATTTGTTTGAGTTGGAAGGGTCCTTTAAAGGCCATCTGGTCCAACTCCCTGCAGTGAACAGGGACATCCCCAGCTCTATCAGATGCTCAGAGCCCCATCCAGCCTGACCCTGAATGTCTCCAAGGATGGGGCATCCTCCACCTCTCTGGGCAATTTGTAACTGTGCCCCACCACCCTTACTGTAAAAAACTTCTTTATATCCAAACTTCTTGTCACGTACATTGAAAGTAGAATGAAGCCTTAATGATTTGTTCTGCCTCTGAGACATGATAATGTGCTGAAAATGTCCCCAAATCACTCATTGCCATTGGCCACGCATCAAGAATGATGCATCCCAGCTGCTAAACCCAGCCCCTAATCCATTGCCAGCTTTCAGCCTGACTTCTCCCCATCTTAGTGGCAAGGTTGGTTTTAGGCAGTTTTCCAATAGCCCACGTACAGTAGAGATAAAATTTAGCTAGATGCATATTTTGAATCACTTCAATGCATGCTTAGTCCATTGTCTGGCAGATGAGTTTAACATTACTATTTTGAAGTGTGTACCCATTTTCATGTTTCCTCATGACGTAATTAGTTTCCTCTGCATTTCACAACCAATTTTCAAATTCTGAAATTTTGCTAATTACATTTTTCCCCTTGTCTTGTTTTTTTTTTTTTCTTTTTTTTTTTTTTTTCTTTTTTTTTTTCCAGCTCTCGTAAATGTGAAACTTTGGGCTATTGATCGGCAATGTTTTCAAACAATAATGATGAGGACAGGCCTCATCAAGCATACTGAGTATATGGAATTTTTAAAAAGGTATGGCGCTTGTTTTCTTTATAAGAAATACAGTGAAACTGTTGTCCTCATCTTTGACTTTTTTGTGAATGCAGTGTTTGATTTGTGTTCTTTCAATTTCTTTTTGTTTGCTGTTTAACCATCTGTGAGCGGTGTCCTCCAGCCAAAGTTGGGTGATCATCAAGAGGGGTTACATTACTCTTTAGTTTCATTCCCATTGTGAGTTATTCATTTGCAAAGAGTCCCGCAGCCATCATGTAAATGAAGCTTTGCTATGAGTCATTCAAAGCTTCTCTTATTGCAGAAAATGCCCATCAAATAAAAACCTCCCTGCGGAAGCATCTGGTTGTAGAACCAACTCCATTTTAAGTGTACTGTTGCATTTCTACAGGCAAAATGCAAGTTTCTAGTGAAGCAAAAGCTGTAGATTTCTGTGGTTTAAGTGAGTAGCAAGAAAAGCATAAACTTTCATTCCTTAATTTTGACCCCAGTCTCACAAACATCATTCTGTTAGTGCTGCCATCGTAAAGTATGACAAATCCTCCTTACCAAAGCAGTGGCTGATACCCCAGTAATTCAGATCTGTCATAGCAGTGAAGAACGGCCTACATTGCATATCAGCAAAGCAACAGCAAATAGGAGCATCACATCACCGAATCCTAGAGAAAAAAGTTGCCTGAGTCAGAGTGACGTTGTAAGTAATTCCATCGTTATTAAGTCATTACCACAGCAGATTTGTCCCCGATCAGAACGTTCTCTGATGAATCATTCCCCTCCCAAGCAAAAGTGATGAGAGGTAATGTACCCGAGAGGTACATTCTTCTGCTGGAAGGTGGGAACTTGCACAAATTTCATCCAATTTGGGCTCCTTTTCCCCACCTCTCACCATGGGTAGGCTATACTTGATTTCTCTTTTTTTAAAAAGGGAGGTAGTAACCATAGCATACAGATGTTAAATAAACCTATGCACTACTTTAGCTGGGTGCCACAAAATTGGGCAGTCCCACAGGGGCCAGGGGGGGTGACCTCTGTCCCATCATCTGCAGGGAAAGCTTTGAGGATAATTTAAAAGTAGTAAAAGATTGGTAACAATAACAGAGTAGTAAAACTAAAGCTATTGGTGATGCAGCCTGGCCCCTAATGAGGACAAGGTGTTACCTCAGAGAGGACCAGGAGCTCCATGAAGATGTTCTGCAGCTCAGGAGCAGCCACCAAAGCCCAGCTTTTTCCAGGTGTCTCAGTTGTCTCAGTTTGTGGTTATTCACAGGCATGCTCAGGAGAGGAAACAGAAACCTGTTGCTGTGTTGGAAGCTTTTAAAAAATCATGAATTCAAATGTTAATGAGCAGTGGCCTTTCTTGTGTGCTGGTGAATGAAACAAAGAAAATGAATGTGAGATCAGTTTTGGTTGTTAGTTTGCTTCTGGCTCTCTTTGGAAGAGGATGCTGTGCACACAGTAAGCTCTTAAGCTTTGAGCTTTAATAGAGCTTTTCTAGATCATCGAGATTTATTTGGATGCATGTTGCACTGAGCCTGCCCAGCTTTAATTTTAGAGCTAATAGTGTAAGGGAACAACTGATGGTTTTTCTCTTACTGTATCTTCTTGCTCACAGCAGTGTGTCGAGAGCGTATTAATGCTGAAAGGCTAAAAAGAAAGTGAAAAGAGAGCAAATACATTTCAGAAGGGCTAAAAGCAAGCAAAAATGTTTTCTTTAAATCTTGCTATTTGAGTTTTGGAAAATATTTGTCATACAGAACGGTTGCAGCATGGAACAGTAATTTTCCATTGCATTGCATTGTCCAGTTGTTCTCTATGCATCAATAGCTACCTCAAGCTCAACATAAATTCTTTTTTTAATTTAAATGAGGTGCTCATCTGTAAGGATGCTTCCCTTCTAAATGTTTAAGGAAAAAAATACATTAAAAGAGAACGAGGAAAATGTTGTCAGTTGTTTACCATATTTGTTCTTTTTTCCTTTCCTTTATTAATAAGTTAATGAAAATGTTCACCAAGAAACAAAAGCAAAGGAAATATTTAAATGAAACCTATTCACAGAGAAGTGAGTGAGGCTGGAAAGCATTATCTTTGCTCTTAGCACTCTGAAAAAGTTGTCCTTCATAATCTTTTCATTAGTCACAGAAGTGTAACAGTCATTCCCTTCAATAGAATGCTTTTGCCTGCAGACAAAACACAACAGAAATGCAGCTTGTCGGGGTGAGATGGGATCCTTCCTATCTTCTCATTCATCTTACCAACAGTAGCCACAGTACGTGCACAGGTGTCACCAGGGCTCCATTTGGTCACTACAAAATACTGCCCCTTTGGCCACTGTTTGTCATCTGCTGTGGCTGAAAGAACGTATTGATGAAATGGATCCGCTATTATTTGCTTAGTTTCACCCTTTTATCTTCAGAGAATATATGGTCCAGTCCTTTCTTCCGAATGCTGTGGGAAAACCATAAAATGTACATTTCCTGATTAAGAAATCCCAATCTGTCTTTCCAGTGGATACTGTGCTGGAAAACTGTGTCCTCACCTGCTCCAAGGAGCGGTACATAGCTCTCATGGATTTCCAAAAGTTGAAATAACTATTTGATTTACATAAAACAATGATAGCCTGGAGCTAGGAGCAGCCGAACATCCTCTTTTTCACAGTGTTTAGGATGAGCTGGTCTCTTTATCCCGCTCTGTCGCTTGTAAAGTTAATGGATGATCCTTGAAGTGATCAAAAGATGGCCTAGTTCCATAGCAGCACCTGCTTCAAGTAGAGGATGAAAAATCCAGGCTGTTTTTTGATCCTTGCATGTATGCTAAACACCAAATCATAGCACTGATTCCCTTTGAAACACAAATTTTCAGTAGCTCATTATGGAGCTGAATCCATGCTAGATTAAGCTAGCTCAAAGCACAGCTAATGTGCAGGCAATGGTAAAGAGTTAAATTATATCATCTGAAAAAATTCTGTAGATTTAGTAACAACTTATGGCTGAAAATGCTGAACATTTCATCTTCGATCTTCACCCAACTTAGTGCTTACTGTGTATCATTGAATTTACTTGCCCTTGCAAGAAGGAGCATTATTCTGCAGTGAAAGTTGTAGCTATGCTAAATTCACCATCCATCTCACTGCAACATTCATAGTGTTAAGGTTACAGTGATTTTCTGTATGTCTGTATGCCTGTGATGAAGAACGGTGTTTAAGCAAGATCAGAATATTTCAGTTAAGGAAAAAAAAAAAAAGCATTTATACAATAAAATTGTTCAGGAAATACGATGGGAAAAGGGAGCAGGTGTAGTCATTTCCTGCTAAATCATAAAAGTTTTAAGGAGGGTTACAAGCATCTTCAGAAAGGCCAGGATACCTTTGGAGAAGTAAACATAATTATTTTTTTGGCAAAAACTTTCTAGATGTGCCATAAAAAAAACGCCTTGTGTTCTGGTCCACCGTGTAAACTCTGATTCATCCAAGATCCTGGAACGGATCAGGCAACAAATGATGAATATTGTATGTAGCCTTGGAGGAAGGATCTAACTTTAGATGCGGAAAATTAAAGGGCATTACATGCTTACACTCACACAACCTTGAATCTTGCTTAAACTTTATGTTAATGTCTAATCCTGCTGAAAAAATCCCAGCCTTCAGCTTTTAACGTTTTGTTGTAGTGCTTTGGCTTGATGCTGAGTCTCTCTTATAATCTCACTTAAGTCGAAAAAGTTTAAGTGGGAAGTTTTAATCTGATGAAGTATGTCGGAAATGTGACTTTATGCCCTCGTGGCTTATCGACATGGGGAGTCGTGCTGGTAAAGTTATCTGTGTAGAAACACAGATGTAACCGTTTAATACTGAAATCGGTGGCAGAGAAAGTTTTGCATTTCATTTGTGAGTCATTTATCACCAAGAGGAAAGCAAAGACAAAACTGTGTGAAAGTTTATTAAATGATTGTCTTTGATGGATTGCCTGTGGTTTCATGCAAAACGTTTCACACGGTGCATCGTAGGGTGAAATTATACTGGACAGAATTGGGAGAGAAATTAAAAGAGTGAGGCAAAGGGAGGACAGGCTTTTGAAAAAGAGAGTTGGAAAGTGAATTAGTGGAGTATGTATACATTAGGATAGTTTCAAGTGACTGAATATGTGAAACAGGCCTTGGCCTAAAGAAGGCAGTTTTTCTGGAGGACTGGAACATAGGCAAAGTGAACAGTGGGGATAGCTGAGAAAGAGGAAAAGGGAAAATATTTCCAGAAGATAAATAAGTACATTTATTCTTAATGCAAATTTATAAGGAAAGACAGAAGTACTGGTTCAAACTGAGACCCCATCTAGACCAGCATCCTTTTCATCCCAAGATGGTACCCAAGGACAAAATGATGGCCCATCCTGCCTGACACAGGTGTGCAGAGTAGGACTTTGAAGACCAAGTGTGTCATCTTCCAGTGATGCTGCTCTCTGAGATGTGGCCATCAGCCACTTCTAGGGTGTGCTGGTTTTCCAGGACAATCCAAAGAGCATCGCTTGCAGGAAGGAGTTGAACTGTTGTGTCAGGACCGCATTCCCTCTGACCTCAGAGGCACCAACAAGGCATTCACCCCAGCTGTCCAGGCTGACACCAGCTCAGTCCTGCGATCCATGAACTGTGCAGTGAGTAGTGTGACAGAAACCATACATCCAGGCAATGGTCTGCTGGATGGAGCAGAAATTCTTGAAACATCCAACCAGCATCTCCCAAGAGCAGAAGATGAAATGATGTGACTTAAAAGTCAGCTTACCTTCCCCAACCGTGCCCCAAAGTGGCCACATCTATTATGTGCTCGTATTGCACGTGACATATTGCCCAGGAAAGAATTAAAAACAGAATGAGGTAATTAATACATAATTAGATGGAGATTGCTTTCCAGCTCCTATCTGTGGAAAGCTCTGAGTCTTTTTTCTTCTTCTGAAGTATTCACTGGTGCTTTTCAGGCCTCTCTTGCCTGTTAGCATAACTCAGGCAAGGCAGCTCGCATGCCAGCCACAATTCCA